CATGTTCATGAATCAGAAGGCTTAAGATGGTTAAAATGCCTATATTATTCAAGCAACCTACAGACTCAGTGGAATTCCTATCAGTATGCTAAGTCATTTTTTTGCACACATAGAAAAAAATCCTAGAATCATATGGAATCTCAAGGGACCCCAGATAGGGAAAACAGTGTTGAAAAGAAAAAACAAACTTGGGGAGTCCTCACAAGCCCAGATTTCAAAACATACTATGGAGCAACAATAATTAAGACAGTACGGTACTTGCCTAAAGACAAATATATGGATCAATGGAGAGGGTGCCCACAAATAAACCTTTGCACATATGGCAAAATGATTCTCAACAACAGTGCCAAGACTATGCGTGGGAGGGACAGTGCCTCCAACAAACGCTGTTGGGAATGCAAAACAATGAGGTTCGACACTTGCCTTACACCAGATACAAAAATTATTCAAAATGAATTAAAGACCTAAACATAAGACTTAAACTATTTGACTCCTAGAAGAACATCAGGATAAAGCATCAGGACACTGGGTTTGGCAATGATTTCTTGGACATACACCATCAGAAATGGGAATATATCAAACTTAAAAACTGCACCAAAGGAATCAATCACACAATGAAAAGGTAACCTATGGAATGGGCGAAAACATTTGCCAATCATATACCTGATAAAGAGATAATATCCAGAATACAGAAGGGACCGCTACAACTCAACACAGATAAACGAATACCCCGCTTAAAAAATGGGCAAAGGAGGGGCGCCTGGGGGCTCAGTCGGTTAAGCATCTGACTTTGGCTCAGGTCATGATCTCGAGGTTCGTGGTTTTGAGCCCTGCGTCAGGCTCTGTACTGACAGCTGGCTCAGAGCCTGGAGCTTGTCTTCGGATTCTGTGTCTCCCTCTCTCTCTGATCCTCCCCTGCTAGCTCTCTCTCTCTCTCTCTCAGAAATAAGTAAAACATTAAAAAATTTTTAAAAAATGGGCAAAGGAGGGGCGCCTGGGGGCTCAGTCGGTTAAGCATCTGACTTTGGCTCAGGTCATGATCTCGAGGTTCGTGGTTTTGAGCCCTGCTTCAGGCTCTGTTCTGACAGCTAGCTCAGAGCCTGGAGCCTGCTTCAGATTCTGTGTCTCCCTCTCTCTCTGACCCTCCCCTGCTCTCTCTCTCTGTCTGTCTCAGAAATAAATATGGGCAAAGGAGCTGAATAGACCTTTCTCCAAAAAAGATATACAAATGGCCAAAAAGCACATGAGAAGATGTTCCACATCTCTAGAATCATTTGGGAAGTACAAATCAAAACCACACTGAGATATTTTACACACATTAGGATGGCCACTATCAGGGGTGCCTGGGTGGCTCAGTCAGTTAAGCACCGACTCCAGCTCAGGTCATGATCTCACAGTTTGTGGGTTCAAGCCCCGTGTCAGACTCTGTGCTGACAGCCAGCTCGGAGCCTAGAGCCTGTTTCAGATTCCGTATCTCCCTCTCTCTCTGACCCTCCCCTGCTCACGCTGTCTCTCTCTCTGTCTCTCAGAAATAAATAAAACATTAAAAAAAAAAAAAAGGATGGCCAATATCAAAAGAAAAGAAATTACCAAATGCTGGAAAGGATGCAGAGACGCTGAAACCTTTGTACACCTAAGTGCAAAGGTACCATAATACATCTGTTATGGAAAACAGTAGGCAGGCTCCTCAACAAATTCAAACTAGAATTACCATATGATTAAGAAATTTTCTTCTGGGTATACATCTAACACAATTCAAAGCAGGATCTCAACGAGTTATCTGTACACTGGTGTTCGTCATAGCATTTCTCACGTAGCTAAGAGGTGGGAGAAAATGTAGGGGGCGGCAGGGAGGCTCAGCTGGTTAAGGGTCTGGCTCCTGATTTCAGCTCAGGTCATGATCTCGCCGTTCGTGGGATTGAGCCACACCATGGGCTCCCTACTAGGGATTCTCTCTCTCTATCTGCCCTTCCCCATTCTCTGTCACTCTCTCTCTCTCTCAAAAACAAATGTTAAAAAAAAAAAAAGAAAGAAAAAGAAAATGTAGTATATACACAAAATGGAATACTATGTAGTCTCAGTATTGAGCTAGGAGGTGAAGTGGAAGTCAGCATCGCAGATGCTTAAATCAACCTTTTTAATAAACTGATTATCAGTTATTTAAAAAAGGGGGGGCGTGGCATTTCTGTCCTGGGTTCCAACATGGATGAACCCTGAAGACATTACGCTGGTGAAATACCCAGTCCCCAAAGGACAAATACTGTATGAACCCAAAGAGAGGAAGCATTTCTCTAAAGCAATCAAAGTCATAGAAACAGAAAGTAGAAAGGTATTCAGCAAGGGCTGGAGGCAGGGGCTCATTAGTGGTTAGCGGTTACAAAGTTTTCGGGTTACAAGGTGAGAAGATTCTAGAGATTTGTTGTACGACGACATGAATATACGTAATACTATTGAAGTGTACACTGAAAAATGGGGAAGATGCTGTGGGTGCCTGGCTGACTCAGTCAGTGGAGCATGCAATTCTTGATCTTGGGGCTGTGAGTTCAAACCCCACGCTGGACGTAGAGATTATTTGAAAAAATAAAATCTTAAAAACGAAACTAGTTAAGATGGCCCTCTAGGGTCCCCGCTTCCCAGAGGACCAAGAAGGGAAGGAATTAGGGTCCTGCCGCAAAGGGCTGCAGCCGCTGTACCCACCGCGTGCCTGAGGACAAGGCCATTAAGAAGTTCGTTATGTGGAACTCAGTAGAGGCCGCCACCATCAGGGACATTTCTGAAGCAGGGGTCTTCGAGGCCTGTGTACTTCCCACGCTGAATGTCCAACTATGTTACCGTGTGAGCTGTGCCGCTGACGGCAAGCTAGTCCGGGCTCGCTCTCGTGGAGGTCCAGAGGACAGAACGCCCCCACCCCGATCCAGACCCGGGGGTGCTGCCCCGCCACCTCCACCAAAGCCCATGTGAGTAGCTAAGTCCTTAAGGACTGAGGACAAAGTGTTCTCTGGGAAAAAATAAAATGGAGATTATACTTTAAAAACATGGTTAAGATGGTCCATTTAATGTTATGTGCTTTTTAAGTCACAATAACAGAATGAAATAAAAAAATAAATAATACTTCGAGATTGGGACAAACTATTTGTAAAAGACATCTGATATATGACTATTATCCAGGGTATTTTATTTTATTTATTTTTTAATAGAGGATTCTTTTTCTTTTTTGAAGTTTGTTTGTTTGTTTAGAGAGTGTGTGGGCAGGGGAGGTGCAGAGAGAGAGGGAGAGAGGGAGAATCCCAAGCCAGGCTCTACACTGTCAGTGTGGAGCCCAACATGGGGCTCGAACTCACGAACCATGACCTGAGCCGAAACCAAGAGTCGGCGCTTAACCAACTGAGCCACCTAGACACCCCCAAAATATTTTTTAAGAAACCTTAAAACTCAACAATAAGAAAAGGACCACTATGTAACACAATGGGCAAAAGCTCTAAATAGGCAACCTCAGGAAATAAGATATTCAGAGGGCAAGGACACGTGAAGACATGTTGAACACTGTACATCATTAGGGAAATGCAAAGGCAGACAAAAACGAGATGCCACTACACACCTATCAGAACTGCCAAAATCCGAAACACGGACAACAAGTGTTGGCCAGGATGTGGAAAACCAGTAACTCTTGGTCACTGCCGATGGGAGCGCAAAATGCACAGCCTCTTTGGAGACAGCCTGGCAGTTCCTTACAAACCACGCTTCTGCCACACAATCCAGGAAGCATGCTCCTTGATATTTACCCTAATACATTAAAATCTTAGGACCACGCAAAAACCTACACATACATGTTCTCAGCAGCCTTATTCATAACTGCCACAACTTGGAAGCAACTAAGATGTCATTCAGAAGGTGAATGGATGAATACACTGGTACCTCTAGACAACGGGATATTATTCAGTGCTAACAAGAAATGAGCTATTGACACACGAAAAGACACGGCACAAACGTAAGTACGTACTGTTAAGTAAAAGAAGCCAATCTGTAAAGGCTACTACTGTATACGATTCTAAGAGTGTAATATTATGGAAAAGGCCAAACTATGGAGACAGTAAAAAGGTGAGTGAGGACCTGGGGTTGGGGGGATAAATGGACGAGGAGGCCGAGCACAAAAGATGGCTACGGTGTGAAATATCCGTGTGTGGGGCAAGGGGATAGATGTGAACTCTGCGCTTTCCGCTCAGTTTTGCTGCAAACCTCAAACGCTCAGAAGTAATATTTATTGTCAACTACGATAAAATCTGCTGAGAACAAAAACTACTATTCGATGTGGGGTAAAGTCTAAAATCTTACTGACAGGGATCTTATTAGGTGATAAAAATAAGATCTTGGAACGCTCATACATTGCTGCGGAAAACAGCTGGAGGGTTCACGAAATTGCTGAATGCAGAACTTCCGTGTCATGTGGCCATTCTCCTCCTAGGTATATACCCCAGGGAATAGAGAAAGGGTGTTCAAACAAAAACTTGTCCACGGATGTTCATACCCGCAACGTTCACACTAGCGAACAGGGGGAAAGAACCCCACATGTCCATCAACTGGAGAATGGGTAAAGATGGAACTTTAGCCCTAAAAATAAGAATTACTAATATAGGCTGCGAAAAGAACAGAGCTCGAGAACATTACAGGAAGTGAGAGGAGTAAGACACAAAAGGCCACATAGGGTGTGATTCCATTTATAGGGAATGTCTAGAGTAGACACATCCATAGAGGCAGAAAGAAGACTGGTGGGTGCCCGGGCCCGGAAGAGGGAGGAAGTGTGGCATGACTACTTCCTGTGCCTATGGTGGTGGTGGTGGGGGGGTTACAACCTCTGAGGGCGATGAAAATGTTGTGGGACTAGACGGTGTCAACAGTTGCCCAACAACGTGAACATACTAAATGTTGCTCAGCTGTACATTTTTAAATGCTGTGTTTTTACCACGATAAAAAGAAAAACAAAGAACGAGCTACAAAAGTACCTTGATCTTCTCACTCTCTTTTCTCACTCGCTTTGCATTCTCAATAATGTAAACGGTGCTCTTGTTGACTTCATTGTCAGCTCTGTGTCTCAGCCAATCCTCGTATCCCTAGGAGGATAAGAATAACCAGGGTCAAGCTCACGTACTGCAGTAAAGCCCTTAATAAATGTCTGTAACCCCCTCCGTGAGTCACCAGCAGATATTTGTACTTATAAAATTACTCTCAACGCAGAGTGCTAAAGAGACAATACTGTATGTTTTTCCAGCAAAACTAAGATAGGCTTTCAAAATACCCCTAAGGTAAATAGCTTTACGGTGTTAAAAAGGTCTCTCCGTTCTACAGAGAAGTATCAATGGAAACACAGGCATCAGAACCATAATATGTGAAGGACTGTGACTTATTCTTCCAATTCTACTCTTATTCAAGTTAGTGTTAATTTCTCTACCTTTTAAAAAAAAGTTTATTTATTTACTTGGGGGTTTGGTGGGGGGACAGAGAGGGAGGGAGACAGAGAATCCCAAGCAAGCTCCATACTCAGCTTGGAGCCTGACACGGGGCTTGATCTCACAACTGTTTGTGAGATCATGACCTGAGCCAAAACCTGACGCTTAACCGACTGAGCCACCCAGGTGCCCCAATGTCTTTACTTTTGAATTTGACAACTTTTTTTCCCCCCTGTGTTTTATTTTCTTATAGACATAATCAGTTGAACATATTCTTCTATAGTGCACTGTTGGCAGTGGTCATCTCTGAGGAAATAGGATTCTCCCCAAAGGATAGGGTTAGATAGGATTATTTTGGTGGAGACTCTATGATAAGTTTTGGACTTCAACAGTTAAACTTCTCCACTGACTGGGTGGTAAAGGAATCTATAAATTGGTGTTCATATTTTAGAGTTAAAAGTAATCAGAGAAAGGTCTAATGGTTCATTTTTCTTTGGGGTTTTTGTATGAAGTAAATTTAAGCCAAAAGAGCCAAGGGAAGAGGATGTTCATTTGTTTGAGCGTGACCTCTTCTCCTTTTTTTCTTTAGAATAATGTCTGTACCTTTTCAAATATAGCTGTTTGAAAAAAAAAAATTCTCTTGATCGCCTTCCCCTTTTTTCCCAGTGCTATATTCATTCCTGTTCTGTCCCTCTTTGTGACAATGCTAGGCTATCACTTCCGAAGGTACTTTCTGTGATGTCAGTGAGGAAAGAAAAGCCCAAACATGAACTAGTATAGGGAGTAAAATGAATCAGTAAGAGCTTTTGTAAACCATACAGGCTATTCTTGGAACTGGCAATTCTGTGATGTTAAAGAAAATAATCCTAACAGCCTAAGGGAAAGAACATTCCAAATGTCTTTATTTAGCAACCAAACACTTGATAAAATATTCTTGCAGTTCCTGGTAGGGAAGATAGAACACCAGATAACCGCCCTCCACCCCCCCCCAGAGGAATGGTAACCTTGTTCCAAATACCATTAAGCAGGCCTTCATTGTTGAAGTTCTTTAGGGTAATTTTTAAAGCTCTTTGACAAGCACTGTCTAAAAGTATGTTTGCAATTAGCCAGGTCCTGTGGATGGCCTCAGTGCCTGATAAACACTGCTAGCCCACTCTACCTCCAGTTTCCCATTTCCACTTTCAATTTCACGTGGAAGTTTTCAAAGGGACGATCATACAAAATGCTCAAAATACTTCCAAGACCTCAGCATCATGGCGATCGCCGGCTTTGATGAGAAACAAGAATAAAAGTCTCCCCTCCCACCCACTTCGGTGACATCGGGAAACACAACACCTATAAAGCATTTGTGCTACTGAGTTCTCTACTTTAGGCAACGACAACAAAAAACTTCACTAGAATGGGAATTTTTCAGAAACATCTACTACACTGAAAAAACTGATCTGCGTTAAAAATTCGCCTCTCACTTCCTGTCTGAGCTGTACCTTCTCCCGACTTTATTTTCGGGTTACGATCCCACACACAAACACTGAGGAGCAGAGGGGCAAAAGAAGTGAAAGATGTACCTTCCAGTCATTTTACTGTTTTCTTTTTTTTTTTTTAATTTTTTAAAATGTTTTTTATTTATTTCTGAGAGAGAGCGAGAGACAGCGTGAGCAGGGGAGGGTCAGAGAGAGAGGGAGATACAGAATCTGAAACAGGCTCCAGACCCTGAGCTGTCAGCACACAGCCCGACACAGGGCTCAAACCCACAAACCGTGAGATCATGACCTGAGCCGAAGTCGGACGCTTAACCGACTGAGCCACCCAGGCGCCCCTATTTTACTGTTTTCAATAGGAACCAAATATAAACTAAATCCATCAAGGATGCTGCCCGCTCCATATAGATATGAAAAAGGAACTCTGACAACAAAATGCCTACCAGACAGGAGTGAAATGCATGCATAACTGCAAATAAGAAGTTTACCTGCTTGATGGCTGTAACAGTTATTACAAAGAACAGCGGAAGTCCACTGGTAACGGGGCTCGTTGGTGTGTCTACTGTGACCTAGGGAAAGAGATTTAATTGCACATGAAATGAAAATAAGCCATTCACTTACATGGGGGACACACATGCTGGAACCACTTCAGACAAAAACTACAGACAAGACACATCCCGGTAGCAGGGTGAATGTTAACGCTCATCAAAACAATGCAATCCACAGAGCAGTTACTTGAAAGGAACAGTTCTAAATTCAGGCTTCGTTTTCATTCCAGCTTGGAATAGCTCCTTCAACGAAACACGACCAATCATTTACCATCGATTCGTGAAGCACCCTTCTTTCAGCCCCTGGGCTCTAATGGGCTCCGCTCTAAAGCTGTCACTTTAAATAAGAGATGAGAACAGCCCCTGCCCTCACGAAGGTGGCAGCTGACAGGAAAACTAGACAGTGAAAACAAGTGAGGCACCGGGATCTAAAGAGTAAGTGGAAACGAACTAGATGAAGGACAGGCTTTTAGGCCCAACGAACAGCATATGCGAAGTCTCCGCAGTAGGAGGGAGTGTATGGAGGCCAGTGGCAAGAGAGTGTGGTGTGAGACGGGGCTACAGAGGGAGACAGAGGCAAGGCCAAGGAGGGCCCTCTGGGCGAGAGCTCATTCTTTATCCCACAGTGGGAAAGAATGGAAGCTTTTAGGCAAGGGCAGCTCCTGTGAACAGAACTACATTTTGGAGCGAACGTTCTCCCTGATTTGGGCAAAGTGGAACAGAAGGGAACAGGAGAGAAGGCAGGAATCCACCTAGCTGGCTACTGCCACGATCCAGGCAAAAGACGATGGCTTGGATGAGAGGGGCAGAAGTACACGGGGAACGAGCTTCTAGAGATCCCTAGGGGTTAACGAGGAATTTCTTGTCCGGGGTGATTAAAGAGATCTTCCGAGTTTCTGGTTAACACGGCTGGGTGGATGCTGTCGTCATTCAGTGAAACACAGGGTACTGAAAGAGGACTAGGCCTGAGGGACAGAGGACCATGAGTTCAATCTGCCCCCATCTCTAATCCCCACCAAGGGCCTGTCTCTGCCACACACCCTGAAGTCAGAGACACAGGCTCTCACACAGCTCCGTGCTCGCGTGCCCCGCCCGAGAGAGCAGGGGGGCATTCTGCACCAGGTCAACTCACTCTCATCTTTCAGGGCTTAGTTCAGCTATCATCTATTCTTTGAAGCCTTCTTAAGCTCCTCTTGGTTCAAAGGACATACTAACTTCCACCGTATCCGCATAACAGGTTGCCTTGTTCTGCATGAAATGAACATACGACTGTCTTCTTGGCTACAAGGCTATTGCTTAAGGATAGAAAAGCCGTATCTTGATTTTCATGCTATTTGCAAGAGTCTCTCAGTATCTGGAATACTGCAAGGCACACAACGGGTGGCGCGTACCACATGGAAGGATTCTTCTGAGTGTAATGTTTTTCTGCCATTTATTTCAGGCTGTTCCGTAAGATCTCTTACTGTGGATCTAGACTAGCCCCTTTTCAAATGCCCTGTCATTTAAGGCTGAAATTAGCTCTCTCCCATAGCATAACCCAAATTGGTTTTAAGTAGCGGGGCTAAATTAAATTACAGTACCATTTACTCAAAGCCTCAAAGTGGATAAACAGAAGCATTTTACAGTAACGAGGCATTTGAGCGATTTCACTGGGATGTTTCTGCTTTGTTTCAAAACGGAAGGAAAAACAAACAAACAAACCCCTTACTGTGATAAAATTTCCTGGGGGTAATCTTGGCAAGGGAAAACTTTTAATAGCTCATAGACTTAAAGATGGAAGGTGCAATTTAAGAGGTCTAAAATTTAAAACACAGAACACTAGCAGGAACACAGAGAAAGAAGATCAAGTTTGCCAGGCTTTCATACTTAAAAGTAAATGAATGAGGAAGAGCAAAAGTGATAATCACAAAGAAAAGTGATAAATTTTCAATTAGGCGGAAATTGGTGCTCCCCAAAGTAAAACTATTCATTTGAACTGTTTTTGACTTTGATATATGCCATTGAAATGAACGGCACACAATATATGCCCTTCTAGGATGAACAAAAAGATGTGACATCTATGAAAGCTTTTAAAGAAAGTAACAAATTCTCAACAGGTTTTCTTCTTTGTTTTTTTATTTCAACAGGTTTTCTACGTAAAAATGCTACTTTAGAAATATATAAAATCATATAAATCGTGAAATGTAATGTTAGTACTTTAAAGAGTCTTATTTTTAAATATATTTATTTATTTATTTTGAGAGAGACAGAGAGCCCGAGCCGGGGAGGGCCAGAGAGAGGGAGAGAGAAAGGATCCCAAGCAGGCTCCGCACTCAGCACAGAGTTTGACGCAAGGCTCGATCCCACGACTGCAGGATCACGACCTGAACTGCTATCAAGAGTTGGATACTGGGGCGCCTGGAGGGCTCAGTCGGTCAAGCGGCCGTCCTTGGCTCAGGTCATGATCTCACGGTTCGTGGGTTCGAGCCCCACATCGGGCTCTGTGCTGACAGCTCAGAGCCTGGAGCCTGCTTCAGTCTGTGTCTCCTTCTCTCTCTGCCCCTTCCCCCTGCTCATGCTCTGTGTCTCTGTCTCTCAAAAATAAATAAACATTTAAAAAAACAAGTCAGATACTGAACAGACTGAGCCACCCAGGAGTCCCTAAAAAATCCTATTATTAAAACAAGCCCTGAAACATCTTTTTGGTCACAGGCCATTGGAAAATTACAAGCGGATTGGGAGTTTGTTTGAAGTGAGTAAGTTTCTAAAAGAGGGGAGGTTGTTTGTGGAGCTCTTACCTGTACAAGGAAAATGATGAGAAAATAGAAATTTGCAATTCTTCTAAACTGTTCAAACAGATTCTTTGGGAGGAAGTTCCAAAGCGTATACTGTACGGGAGGAAGAAGACAAAGAGTGTGATTAGAAAGGAAACCTGAAAAATCCTAACAATGACTCACCGGGGCCAGATGATCAAAACCCTTTGAAAACCCGCTAAAGCCCCAACCACCCACCCACCCCCCCCCCACACACACACACAAGCACACACTTAGAGGTACCCAGAAGAAGCCAAGTTTCAAGTCGAACTTTACAACAGGGCCATCTGGTCTCCAATGTCAGCTCTCCCTGACTTGACCTACATCAGGTTCACTGTTAGGTGCTCACATCATCCTACCCTGCCTTGATAAAAACTCGTTATGCTGTAGAACTATGTATGTGTGCATTTATTATTAAAGTTTCTCCCTCAGCAGGCAAGGAATTCTCTGAGGACAGGCTGTTCCTTTGTCTTTTTATTACTCCCCCCACCCCCGACACCTACAGACAGAAGGGGGACACTAAATAAATTAGCTGGATGAATGACTGAACAAATTAACTGCTCCGGCTCAGCTAACAACTGGAGACTGGACCGTCATCGCCAGTGTAACCCTGTCCCTATCAGTACCTCCCATGTCCAGGACAACTGAGGTGTACATATAACCCTGGCACGCAGAGGGCTTGCCCCGTATTTATTTGTCATTTTTTAAAAGTTTATTTATTCACTCTTAGAGAGGACACGCAAGTGTGGGAGAGGCAGAGGGCGACAGAGAGAGAGAGAGAGAATCCCAAGCAGGCTGTACACTGTCAGTGCAAAGCCCGATGTGGGGCTCGAACCCACAAACCGTGAGATCACAGCCTGAGCCGAAGTCAGATGCTTAACCGACTAAGCCACCCAGGCGCCCCTTTATTTATTTATTTTTTAAGTTTTATTTATTTATTTATTTATTTTGAGAGAGAGAGAGAGACAGAGCGTGAGTGGGGAAGGGACAGAGAGAGGCAAGGTCCGCACTGTCAGCTCAGAGCCCGACACGGGGCTCAAACTCATGAACTGAGAGATTATAACCTGAGCTGAAGTCGGACACTTAATCCATCGAGCCATCCAGGCTCCCGGAAGGCTTTCACTTTAAACAGCAACATACCACCCTGGGCTCTGGTAACTGGGAACAGGTTACAGGTTCAATGCCAAGTGGTAAGTACATGGACAGAAGAAGAAGATACTTGGGCCAACTGTTAAATTACATAGACTTTCTCACTAATATCTTAAGCTCAAGGATTAGGTCATTTAAAAATCTCCATAAGAGCTTGCCTTTTCTAGATGTCTTAGCAAAGTCCAGACACCAGAGAAGAGAGATGTTTGTTAGCTTAACACCTCTAAGTTTATTCTTAAACGGTCTCCACTGCAAGTGAGAAAGTGCCCATTAAATTAGGGAAGGTGACTGAGAAGCCAAAGTTGCAGAGTATGGCATAATATATGGGAATTTCCTCTAACCTCTCTTTAAAAGGCTTATGAGCTCAAGCTTCAGGGAATTCCAAGAAAATGAAGATAAATGGAGGCAGACGTATTCAATAAAGGAGCTGCATTACAAGCAGGGGCCAACCTAGAAGGGTCTTCCCCCAGGATTCACACAAGTGCCTCGAGGAGGCGCGTTCGAAATGAAGCACAGAATTACACGGAGCCACCGCCTCACACCTGTGAGAATGGCCGCACAGCATGACACAAGGAACAGGTGTCGGTGAGGCTGTGGAGAAATAGGAAGCCTCCTACACTGTTGGTGAGAGCACCAACTGGCGAGAACGTGGGGGAAGACAGTGTGGAGGCTCCTCAGAAAGTTAAAAAGAGAACTACCCTACGACCCAGCTATCGCGCCACTGGGTATTTACCCCCGAGACACAAAAACACTAATCCAAAGGGATACGTGCAGCCCTGTGTTTGTAGCAGCGTCGCCAACAAGAGCCAAACTACGGAAGCAGCCCCAGTGTCCATCGACGGATGAAGGGATAAGGAAGAGGTGGTGTGTGTGCAAGGGAATATTATTCGGCTGTAAAAAGGATGAAACGTTGTCATCTGCATCAACACGGATGGAGCGAGACTGCATAATGCTAAGTGAAATATGTCAGAGGAAGACACATCCCCTAGGATTTCAGTCATATATGCAATTTAAGAAACAAAACAACTGAGCAAAGAGGGGGAACAAAAAAAAAAGAGAGGGAGACACAAAGCAAGAAACAGACTCTTAGCTCTGGAGAACAGACTGATGGGTACCGGAAAGGAGGTGGGTGGGGGGTGGGTGAAATAGGTGATGGGGATTCAGGAGTGCACTTGTCGTGGTGACTGCCAGGTGATGTATGGAAGTGATGAATCACTCTACTGTCCACCTACAATGAATATAACACTGTATACTAACAATACTGGAATTCAAAAAACCTGGGGTGCCTGGGTGGCTCAGTCAGTTAGGGAGCCGATTCTTGATTCTGGCTCAGGGTCATGATCTCATGGCTCTTAGGTGTGAGCCCCACTTCAGGCCCTACGCTGACAGCACAGAGCCTGCTTGGGATTCTCTCTCCCTCTCTCCCCTTTCCTCCGCCCCTCCTTTGCTAACACACACATGCTCTCTCACGCGTGCGTGTGCTCTCTCTCTCTCTCAAAATAAATAAACTTGGGAAAAAAAACCTTAATAAACAACAATGAAAAATGAAGTACAGACCTGTGTGTGGATGTGCATCATTTGGGGGAAGAGAACCTACACTCTTCTTATCAGGCTCCCAAGGCAGCTTGTACCCAAAAATAAAAGAGTTCCAAACCACTGATGCAGTCACGTCGGACGTGGTGTGGTCTGGGACTAGCACTTAGCTGTCTCAAGTCCCTAAGATCAATTTTCTAAAACAATAAGCTCAACTCTCACAACAGGCTAACAGCTGAGTTTCTGGCTTGTTGGCCTTCTGTTCCCTAAGGGGTTTTTAATTAAACACACAAACATTAGGGACTGTCAGAGTCCTGGGGGGGGGGGTGTTAAGACATCAAAAGGGAACATTTTTGTTGTTGTTCCTCGGTCCCTACTGTAGGTTTATCACTGTTGTGACTTAGTAGCTGAACTGCTTCTTTGGGAACTCGGATTCTTACCTTTATAGGAAACTACTGCTTTATGCCCTCTTCTTTCCTGTACCAGGTAATGAGCTATGAAGAGGTCAGGGAACATAGCATGAGCCCCCTGATCACAGGTGCCTTGAACGGTGTTTGGTACATAGGACGCATAGGGACACTTGATCTTAAGTGTTGGCCATTTACTCCACTGCTCACTGTCAATGTAACGCAGACCTTTCTCTTTTTTAAAGTAACGAAGCACCTGGGCAGCTCAGTGGGTTAAGCTTCTGACTTTAGCTTAGATCATGATCTCACAGCTCGTGGGTTCAAGCCCCGCGTTGGGCTCTGTGCTGACGGCTCAGAGCCTGGAGCCTGCTTCGGATTCTGTGTCTCCATCTTTCTCTGCCCCTCCCCCGCTTGCGCTCTGTCTCTCAAAAATCAATAAACATTAGAAAAAAAAAATTAAAGTATCACTCTTCCATCCATAAATTCAAACGAGTAAGGAGAGTTAACCAGGATACTACCACACTAGGATCTGGTGACATTAGCTAAAAAGGCACTGTCCAGGGAGTCTGAAAAGACTCAAAGAGAGGTCTAATAAATTCTACAGACGATTCTGAGTTTTAAAATAAGGGAGAATGCTAGTGTAATTTTAGGCTTGAAACTTTAATCCAAGACAGTCTTTCACACAGGAGTTCTAAATTTAACCTTGGGCATGCCTTCAAAGAGTTACATGGAGCTCAGTGACTTTTTTTTTCTTTCTTTTTTTTAAAAATATATTTATTTAAATTCAAGTTAGTTAACATACAAGTGTAGTTTTGGTTTCAGTAGAACCCAGTGATTCATTACCTACATATGACACCCAGAGCTCATCCCAACAAGTGCCCTCCTTAATGCCCATCGCCCATCAGTGAGCCTAGGATGAGCTCACAGATTTTTTTTAACTTTTTTTTTTTTTTTTTTGAGAGAGAGAGACAGAGGCAGCGCAAGTGGAGGAGGGGCAGAGAGACTGAGGAGGGGCAGGGCTCCGCACTGCCAGCATAGAGCCAGACACGGGAATCGAACCAACGAAACCATGAGATCACGACCTGGAAACCAAGAGTCCAATGCTTAGCTGACTGGGCCACCCAGGCGCCCCAAGCTCACTGATTCTTATACACGGAAATGCCTCCAAGATTGAAGCTCAGGATTTTTAAAGGGAAAAAAAAATTATGATGCAGAGATATGATGGGAACGGAAGATCCTAAAAGTCCTGGCAGGATGCAACCAATGCCCCTTTTGCTACAGAAGGGGATTTCCAAATTCTGTCCCAGCTACAAAATTCTGGTGATTCCCAAAGGTTCCTGCTGATTGTACGGAAGCGAGAAGGCTGCAGAGACAAGTTTTTCTAAACAAAGTATCGTGTTCCCAAAAGAAGAAAAGAACACTAATTTTATTACTAAGTAAAATTTAAGGTAGATCCGAGTATTCACCTTCCGTGTTTCCTGCATTAATAAGACTTACTCCCCGGTGTTAACAGACATTACTGATGGCGTTTGTCAACAAACAAACAAACACCCAGTAAGACAAAGTTATTTTCATTACTGATAGGTTACAAAAGGCAATCAACACTTGCTACAAGCTGGAAGGCAGCTAAACGTATTCTACAAACTGTACATTTCTTCAACTAAAAGATTCTGGTGAGAAATACTAACAGCCAAAAGACATGTGAGGAAGGAAAAGTTTAAATGGTGAAAATAAGTTGTTCTTTCCAGAATGGACCCAAAGGTCTCTTTTAAAGAGAGAGCACCATCAAACCCCCCGAGAGGGAGGGAGTCACTGAGCGACTGCTCAGGAATGCAGGTAACACTGATCCCAGAAACATGAATAACACCACCAGCCAAGTTACTATAGGCCAAGCACGGGGCTTAAGTGTGTTTAGGTGGATTCCTTTCTTTCATCTTCACCACAATCCTCGGAGGTAACTACTGTTAATATCTCCATTTTATAGAGAAGAAAACTGAGACACAGAAAGGTTCGAGGACTGACTTTAACTTCAAACCCAGGCCTCTGTCTACAAGGATGAAGCTCTTCACCGCTATACAATCATTCATTGTGTCAAGAATAAAATCTTAATCTTCTAGATCTTTTTGATTGAAAAAGAATGAAATCTTGCCGTTTGCAACAGCGCTGATGGAACTTGAGGGTATCATGCTCAGTGAAATAAGTCAGTCAAAAGACAAATGTCTTAGGACTTCACTCACATGCGCAATTGAAGATACAAAACAAATGATCATAAGGGAAGAAAGCAAAAAGAACCTTACAACAGGGAGAGGGGCAGGAGCATCTGGGTGGCTCAGCTGGTCAAACGTCTGACTTCAGCTCAGGTCATGATCGCACAGTTCGTGGGTTCCAGCCCCACATCGGACTCTGTGATGACGGCTCAGAGCCTGGAGCCTGCTTTAGATTCTGTGTCTCCCTCTTTCTCTGCCCCTCCCCCACTCACAGTCTGCCTCTGTCTCTCTCTCAAAAATAAATATTAAAAAATTTTTTTCAAAACTTAAAAAAAAAAAAAACAGGGAGGGGGACAAACCATGAGAGACTCTTAGAAGTCCAGTAAGCTATCCATTGTGCCACGGAGCCACCTAAGAGCCTCTTAAATACAGAGAACGAACTGAGGGTCACTGGATGGGCTGGGGTGGGGGTGGGGGGGCTAAATGGGCAAGGGGCATTAAGAAAGATACTTGTGGGGATGCGCACTGGGTGTTATACATAGGGGATGAATCACTGGAATCTACTCCTGAAATCATCATTGCACTATATGCTAACTAACTTGGATGTTAATTAAAAATAAATAAATAAATAAAATAAAAAAGATTTCATTCTTTATCTGAAGTTAGTATACTGTCAACTCCTCTTTTTCTGCTCTAGAACTTTTATGAAACAGCAGATCAGTTATAATGACCAGCAAACTAGAAAGACTGTACACATGTAATATTTGCAGAGAAGAGAGAGGTGTGTTGTCTATCAATGCAGAAATGTTCACTTCTCTTTTCTGGTTTCTAACACATACGTACAGTACAGAGATCTATATGCAAACCTGTTCAGAAACAATCTTTATTTGCCCCATGAGCTCTTGACTATTAAAAAAAAATATCCTGGGGCACCTGGGTGGCTCAGTCAGTTAAGCGTCTGACTTTGGCTCAGGTCATGATCTCACGGTTTGTGGGTTTGAGCCCCGCGTCGGGCTCTGTGCTGACAGCTCAGAGCCTGGAGTCTGCTTCGGATTCTGCGTCTCCCTCTCTCTCTGCCCCTCTCCCGCTGTCTCTGTCTCTCTTTCAAAAATAAACATTAAAAATTAAAAACCAAAAATCCTCATGTATCATTTTGCCAACTGGCAAAACTGAAGCTAGATAAAACATGAAAATTATAGTAAATACAAAAAGATCTGATAATTAGATGGAGTCTCATAGTTCTTTTAGAAGGTGAAATTGCAAAGTATATTGTAGCCAAATGGTTATCGCTAGCTTAATGAAGGTGCCTTTAGTGTGTGTGTTACATTAGCATCTTCCACAGCAAGCACTACGAGAAACACCCTTCCCTGGAAACAATGTCATATTTTACTTGATGCAAAATAAGAGAGCAAACCAAGAAAGGAGCCCCCGTAGTACAATGATGCAACTAGGGCTCTTCTTTCACAGCCACCAGTCCTTACAGAGCACGCCTGCTCCTGGCTTTCTCCGGACTCTGCCTGGTGACCATGCCACTAACTTAATTTCTCCGCATTTTGTTTTCTCCAGCTCTAGAGTCAGCCAGATGAACAGATAATCTCTCGGGGTCTTTCAGGTTTCGAAGTCTAGGATTCTGAGCCCAAGGACTGTTGTCTTGGATACTACAGGGCAGGATACAATTTTCACTCAAAGGACTGTTCGCTCTCCTGCGTGCAGGTATGAAGACTTCTGGCTGAGGATAAATTTTCTGCCATAAGGTTAACGATGAACAGGAAAGAAGGACAGATATTTCACCCAAATACACTCGGAATGGTCTGCAGGCCAGTAGATCCATGCTCATTAGGCAGTGCAGTTTGCACCCATTCTGCCCATATTTTACCTGTTAATCCCCTACTTAGGTATACTCTGTACCGCAGGGGCGCCTGTCAGTTAAGCGTCTGACTCTTTTTTTTTTTTTTTTTAATTATTTTTGTTTACATTTATCTATTTTTGAGAGATAGAGAATGAGCGGAGGAAGGGCAGAGAGATAAGGAGATACAGAATCTGAAGCAGGCCCCAGGCTCCGAGCAAATGTTCAACACAGAGCCCGATGCAGGGCTGGAACCCACGAACCATGAGATCATGACCTGAGTGGAAGTCAGATGCTCAACTGACTGAGCCACCCAGGCGCCCCTAGCGTCTGACTCTTGATCGCAGCTCAGGTCATGCATGATCTCATAGTTCATGAGTTTGAGCCCCGTGTCAGCCCCTGTGCTGACGGCAGGAAGACTCCTTGGGCTTCTCTCTCTCTCTCTCTCTCTCTCTCTCTGCCTCAAAATAAATAAGTAAACTTAAAAAAAAAAAAAAGCATAATCTGTACTGTATCACTACGTAAAGAAAAATCACATGTGTATTTGAAAACTAAGTGTTAAATTGCTTTTATAATGTTTATTCATTTTTGAGAAAGAGGCGCACGTGCGTGTGAGCAGGGAAGGAGCAGCAAGAGAGGGAAACAGACAAGGCCAAGCAGGCTCTGTGCTGTCAGCGCAGAGCCCCACATGGGGCACGAACCCACAAACCGCGAGATCATGACCTGAGCCGAAGTTGGACGCTCAGTCGACTAAGCCACCCAGGCGCCCCTTAAATGTTAACTTTTTAAAGGAAGGGTGTACTTTTGTCTCGGGTCCTAGGTGTTTGCAAACTTGCACTGGGGTCCGGCTGTCGCTAACATTTTAGAACTGCCTTTCCAGCCTCCACAAAGAAGTAGGGAAAATTCTCAAGTGTGAACCAATCAATTATCTGCCATCTAGCACCTAGTACCTAACTTGGGTGGCCACAGGCAAAGATTGGCAAATGACTATTAGAATGAGGACAGCTGGGTACTAGGAACCTTAAAGAGGGCTCTCGCCTATGGGACATCAGCTCCATTTCACGGATAAGGACATTCAGACTCAGAGATGCATTTGGCCGAGGTCACATAGCTGGTAAATGGTGAGGCCAGAATGTAAACATGCCTTTGGACTTTGAGGCCACTGCTCATAGCACCGCATGCTGCTGCAGGACGATGATTACTCAAATGGTGACACAGCCACAGCGAATGGGCTCTTAACTGTCCCAGCAATGTCCTGAGCAGAACACACCCTTTAGGACCCCGGAGTGTACACGAGGAGCTCGGCAGTGGGACAGAAAGGGACCTAAAAGCCATTCCAGGATCGCAGCCACCAAAAAGAACGGAAATTATTTATAGCCGAGTCCATCCACTTAAGAGCAATTCGGGAAGCTTTGGGCAAGTAAATAATTCCGAATTTGAGCACCCTTTAAGGCTTACAGTAATACGCAGAATCAACAGGCACTATGAAAAATAATGGAAGGCTAGTGAATAATGTGTCAGCTGTAACAAGACACAGTGATGCTTTTTAAAAAACAAAACAACAAAACCAGCCTCTGGGTGGTTGGTATCCAGCATTTAAGTGCACACGCACGTATGCACACATAAGTACACGGGCTTCCTTGAAGGCGTAAGTGAGTTATCTGGCTCACGGTATGAGTCACTGTATGTATCTATTGAATTAAAAAAGCAACTTACCTTGGACGAGACTATTCTATTATCACAAAATCTCTGTGCAATGTAGGCTTCTGTTTCTGAGACTGGATGATTGCCAACAAACACTGTGCGAGTTCCAACTCTTTTCTCTTCTCCAGCACACTGACCAAGAGAAAGGGGGGAAAAGTCAGTGTCTTATCACATTTCTCCATGCTTCTATAGAGCTCAGAATTCTTGCCTAGGCATGTTCCACTATAATCTGGAGAGACCAAGTACAAAGGAGGGGGGGAACCTTGTTAGGCTACTCCACCAGGCTTAGACACTGACTTAGAGAAGCTTAGTACGAGTGTTGCTTGAGCCCATGGCAATTCTAATATGCTTGCATTTTTCAAAATCCCAGAGAAACAGTATGTTTGCCGCCATCTTCCTTTCTCCCATTGCATCTCAACCATCACCATAAAAGCGACACACTCACTGGGAAAAGGTCAGACTGGGAGTATTTATCATGGGACAACTCTTGAGGACAATCTTGTCAATTCGCAGAATGCAAATTACTTCCAAACACAAAATAATTACTTCTAAGTCTAGAGAAATAGAATGGCTGTCTTTAAGGACGACCAACTATTTCCACAAAGAAAAGCTGTTAATTCTTTGGCTTTGCAGGAAAGACCTCCTTGGTGAGTTCTCAGAGCCTACTGTCAGAAAGTCCCATTTCACACAATGCCCCCTTTACATTTTTTTTTTTAATGTTTTATTTATTTCTAGGAGAGTATGTGCAAGCAGGAGAGGGGCAAAGAAAGATGGAGACACAGAATCAGAAGCAGGCTCTAGGCTCTGAGCTGTCAGCACAGAGCCCGACGCGGGGCTCAAACCCACGAACCATGAGATCATGACCTAAGCGAAAGTCGGACAGTTAACCGACTAAGCCACCCAGGCGGCCCCCCTTTACATTTTTTAAAAGTAGATTTGCTGAGCCTAGAAGTTCTAAGGGTGAGTTCCATTTTACCTCACCCTTTTATTTCACAGAGGCTTTTACTCTAAGATTCTCCAGTAAGTTTATTTTGCAAACCTTTTGGATTTTAGGTTTTATGGGCTTGCACTGTTATAAAGAGAAAAAAGTATACAATTTTAAACACTGAACGATTTATCATTTTGTATGCTTATTTTTACTTGACCTTCAAAGGCAGCAGCTCATGGGTTCAGTCTAAGTATTCTTGCCACCCCATCCCACGTCACTGTCACTGAGTCAAAGAGTTCAAGATACACATACAAAACACACCTGGTAACAGACGCAAACAAGCCTTTTGTAAAGTAAACAAATCTTTTATACGGTAAATAACGGTTCATTTTTTGGAGCTTTCTATATCCAGTTCAGGTCTTTTTTTGAAATTGGGATATTCACACTTATTAGACACAGTCTTTATAAAGCAAAGCATTTATCTCTTTGCAAACTCAAAGTAATTCTTCTGAACAATGTTTTTCTTATTGATTGGAAAAGAATGGAGTGTGGAAGATCAAAGAGGAAAAATCACTTCAAATGATCAAACAGAAGACTGAAAAATGATACATTTAACAGCGCAGGGAGAAAATTTTTACGTATAGATCCTATTGAAAATACTGATATTCAAAGGAATCATTTTGGACCCATTGCCATAAACTTGGATTTTTCTCAGTTAATTAAAACCAAGAGTGGTGGTTTTATTTAGGAAGAAACACTGAAGTCAGAACGGAAGGATCGTACAATTTAGTTTCTACATAAATGACTGCTTGAATATACAAAGTATCAAACAGAAGCAGAAAATAAATTGGCAGAAATAATTATTCAACCAGGAGTGATGCTTAAGACCATTTCAAAGACCTTCTATACCCAAAGAATGAAAAACTATTACTGCTATAAGAGTTTACAGCACACAACTGAATCCAATCCTAATTCATTCCCTCTATTTCTTCTTCAGTATTACTGAACCCCCATTTCCTCCTGTCAATTCATTGTGTTTATCATGTGAACCATCACAGGCAGGAAAGGTTGAGAAGGCCAACACCTACGGTAAGCTGCGTTAGTGAGGCACAGATCTTCAACGTTTATTTCATTGACCACTTTGGGATTTTCCTCTCGTATTTTACGATCAATCAAGCTATTCCTCTGTTGTTTTTCTCTCCGGGACGAATGGACCGCGTGCAGTGTGGCCAATCGGTGAAAGTGCACCGAGGAAAGGTGAGAACTGAAACTGTGAGCCAGGTGATCTTGGGAATTTTCTCGATGACAGGGAGCCACTTTAGAAGCTGCACCTTCGCGATGCCTTCGCGATGTGGGCCGTGCTCTGCGGCCCCACCTTCCCCAGCAGCCTCCATTCCTCTTCAGTCGATATCGGCACGCCTCTACTCTGTTTTCTCATCTTAAATCAGGGTAATACATTTTCTTATACAAATCTGGGATCGTCTCCTTTGATGGTACTGTATTATCATGTTTGGGACAATCATATATTTAAGTCAAAAAAAAAAAGACAGGAACCAATTTCTACATATGTATTTCCATTACACTTTTTTGTTTCAAATTTTTATTTACATTCTAGTTAGTTAACATAAAGTATAGTATCGGTGTCAAGAGCAGAATTTGGGGATTCATCACTTATATACAACACCCAGCGCTCAAAGTATGGAGGCACAAAGATTCTCCTTCCAACCCTGGACCACGAAATAATGGTTTTCAGCAAGACTACTTAGAGCTTCCAATGTTCTCCGAATGTCACCCAAAGGATGTATTTCGATTTGAATTTTTGAAACTTACATTGATATTATAGAGAAAAATCACTCTTTTTTAGTTTAAAAAAAGTAAGACTCACCACAAAATATAGATAAGACCTCTTGACTCATCATTTTCATTTAAGCTTATTCAATAATTATTTAGTGGGGTACTGTTTTCAAACTCTGTAGGGAATCAATCAAAAAGTATTGGGATAAATTGAAGTAGGAGAGATTTAGGCTGTATATAATAAAAAACGGTAACTTCTGGAAACCTACCCTGGCATGGGCTAACAATCTCCACCCGTTTACCCACTTGCCCAAAGACAGGGAATTATTAGACCCAACAGTTCCTGGAAGCCAGTAAACAATACCTTTATCAGAATGGCAGGTATATACGTTCTGATTCAGGGACTGACTTCGTTGTTTGCAACTGTAATATACACGGTCTGACACAGCCTACTGATAAGAGCACTAAATTTTCCACGGTATCCATTTTGCCAATTGTAAACAGAAAGGGAGTACACTGTGTGGTGCCTGGGTGGCTCAGTCTGTTAAGCTTCTGATTTCGGCTCAGGTCATGATCTCACCCTTCGTGGGTTTGTGCCTCGAGTCGGGCTCTGTGCTGATGGCTCAGAGCCTGGAGCCTGTTTCGGATTCTGTGTGTGTGTGTCTCTCTCTCTGCCCCTCTCTCACTTGTGCTTGCTCACTGTCAAAAAATGAATAAACATTAAAAAAATAAAAAACTTAGGTGAGTACACCTTGCTCAAGTATAGCTCATTCTGATTCATCCTTCCCCTCACCTTCTATTGTAAGTTACAGTCCTCGCTGTAGTCTCTACAACTGACCTGACCCTTATCATGTACAGATTTATTTGCATTACAGAAATTAAGTACACACTGTAATTTACGACCTTTAGTATTTGTATGGTTGTTTAGTTTTTCACGCAACCAAGACGTGACTACAGAGTAAACAAGGAAGAGTTACGTTTGCTGCCAGTGGTCAGACCACGCTACAAACAGAAAGGAGGAAGGGGAAAAAGGAAAGGTAGAGGGTCAGTGAGCCAGGAGGTCTTCTGCACCTACCAATATACATTGTTCCCCTGGGTTAGCAGTGGCCACTGATTAACTTAAAACAAAAATGAACTAGTACTTCCCCAGTGCTGAAATGGTCGTCAACTTTCTTCTCTGGCAGTTAGTAGCATTCCAGGGAACAAAAAGCAGGGAAAGGCATAACACGATTTTTGAAATCTGTAATATTTTTATGAACTCCCTACATCTGAATGGCATTTAAAGTTTTACTAAGAGCTTTCCCCATACAGTATCTCTCTGATCACTTTCAAATAAGGCCTCTGTGACCTCTATGTCCATGACGTTGGGAGAAAATGGATTGAAATTGCTGTGTAGGTTTGGGGGGGGGGGTTCTTAGCAGCGATTGTTGTTAGATGATGAAAAAGGGGCCTGAGAGGAGTTGTATAATGTCTACTGAGGATTTTTTTTTAAAACTACGGCAAAGTCTCTGCATTTGCAGCTGCCTGGAACTGGGGCTGGAGGGGGCGTGAAATGGAGGACTTTTCCATGCCCGCTTCACCCTAAAATCTGAAGAACCTGCAGCTTCGGGTTGAATTTGCTCTAGCTTATAATGCTATCTAGTGTGCATAAAAATGGCAGTGCTGAATGCATGTGTAAATTCACTGTAATTTTCCACTTGCTGCCAATGTAGAGTGTTAAAACAGTGGTTTTAGTTCCTGTGACTGTGAATAAGGTAGGTGCCTTAGCGAGGGCAGAGAAACTCCAAGTAGGAATCATTAAAAAAAAAAAAAAATCTCCCTTTTGGATGGCACACGGTGTAGTGTGGAGTGGGAGTATAGGGTCCCTGCCACCTCATGATGAATTTTAATTCATTAAGAGTCCATCCTGTGTTTCACTGCTTCCCATCCAAATGCCCTTAGAAATGGCATTTTAAAACACTGAAATGTGCTGGAACGGATTCTATTTTAATGACACATCATACACTACAATAAAAAGTATGGAAAAATATTAAAAAGTATATTTATAATACATGGGCTAACAGCAAAAGCAATTCAGTTTTTTCCCAAGATAAAAGCCACCCTTTGCACCCTTGATTTTTATACCTCCGTAGTATGAACTGAACATTGTAGGGAAAAACAAAGGTAAGTAATTTATATCAAAGCACAGCGTCTTGATAAAAATCAGAGTTAAATGACACTGTTACTCAACTAGTACCATCTTAAACTCCCATGCCTTTGCTAGTCATAAAACACAGAAAGCTATTGCAAGTATAGTTTCTTGATCGCCTCTAGACCAGTTACTCAGTAAGAACGGAGAGAAAATAAAGACGTTGATACAAGACTGTCACTATAAATCCTGTCACAGGATCTAAAACAGCTCATGTCCCCA